GTATTCAGGTAGTGTAAATAATACGCCTTGACAATCTTGAGAAATGATAATTAGTCAATGTTATGTTCACATCCACAAAAAAACCCCAGAGATGCAACCTTAATGATGCATAGTGTCTCAATTTGTCAGGCATGTGTTTGTACTTTTAGAATATATGGATGTACTGCTGTGTCTGAATTCAGATCGACAGCCTGGACGTGAAGGCGCAGACGCCTTTGTTCACAGCTGTCAATGGGAAACATCTGGACTGTGTGGTGGCCCTGCTGAAGGCCGGGGCCGATCCCAACGGCAGCCAGTACAACAACTGCACCCCGGCCCTGACCGCGGCCCGGGAGGGCGACCTGGACGTGCTCCGGGAGCTGCTGCGCTTCGGAGCCGAGGTGGATGTCAAGCCCAAAGCCCCTGAATGGGCCTCCAACGCCACCACCTGCAGGGGGCCCCTTTATATCTGCGCTGTTTATGGACACATGGACTGTTTCAAACTGCTCCTTCTCCACGGGGCCAACCCCAACTACAACTGCACGGACGAGAAGATGCTGGCCAGGATAAAGCAGCCGAAGACGGTGCTGGAGGTGTGTCTGCGCTACGGCTGCGGGGGGGAGTACATCCAGCTGCTCATAGACTTTGGGGCCGACGTGTATCTGCCCACGCTCATCATTGACAAGACTACCAAGCAGAATGAGGCTCTGAATCTGCTGCTCAAAGAGAGAGGTGATAAAGTAGTTCCAGTTTGGTTCTGTGCATTTTACAAGTGTCAAGATGTTGATCCACCTTTTTTCTGTTTCTGTTCCAGTTTGTCCCAAAACACTGATGTCACAGACTCGCCTAGCGATAAGAGGATACCTTCCCTTTGGCAACAAGGAATGTGCCATTGGCAATTTGGACGTTCCTCTGATCCTGAGGAACTACCTGAAGCACATCACATCTGAACTCCTATGATGCTCAACTTAGAATCACGATACATGACTGGATGACTGATTTCTAGTTATCTTATTTGTAGGACATCATACACACAGAAGATATATCATCCCAGTCTGTAAATCCTTGTTTTTATTATATATTTTGAAGCTACGTAAGCTAAGTTTTAATATATAGTTGCGCTTTACAAATCTCATTGAAGTGAAATAAATGACCATGCCAATGGGCCATTTCCTTGGGAAGTGTAACACCACGGTTGACCACTAGAGACCACAGTAATACTGCTCATAGCTCATTGAGGCTCCTCATATGATTTGTTCTTGTTCCCATACTGTACAGTCTCGCTTGAGTTATTTAGACATCAAGAAACACAAACACACAGAGACTGTGTCTGCATCGCAGCAGGGCGTCTTAGATCTTGCCTGAAAAACACTCTTGCATCTGCTGACTTCAAAACATGGAAACGGAACGATCAGCGCAGCCAACCGGGAGAATATGTTTGCATAAGTCTCATTATTCATTGATGACAGCATTTTCAGGCTTCAATTTGTGATTTTTTTCTCTTTTGTGACTTTGTAATATTCTTCTGAGAACGTTTTTATCTTCCGTTTGTATCCCTTTTTTGTAATAAATAAATGCAGGAGTTTATGTGTCAGCTGTTGGTAATGGGGACAGGAAATGATGTCACTAACAGGAAAACCAGCACAATGCTCCCACTCGCACATTGACGCCTAGACATGGAGTTCTGTAGAGGTTTTATTTTCAACAAAAGTACAGCTATATCAGATATGGATTTATTTTTACAGCGAAGTACAACATATTCCCAGTGCTTCTGATTACATCAAAACATATAATGTACATACAGTTGACATCTCCACTCTCCCATTCACAGTTTCTGGATTGAATAGGCATTATTTTTAATTTCTACAACAAATAATCAAAACTCAAAAGGCCAGCGAGAAAGAAAAGGACAAATGTTTGCATATGGTGACGAAGGATGTGGGTAGTGAGTACATTTTTCTGTGATAGGCAAAAATCCAGACCTCAAACTAGAAGGTAATTTACAATGAGGAGATTTCCAAAAGTGGGATGTCAGTCTTCAGTTTAACCTTGTTGTCATTGAACACCACATCAATAATATGGCTCATTGAAGACTGTTGTTACCTGACTATTGTGAAACAACACAGGACTGCATAACCAACCGCGAGGAGTTCCTACTGATATGCTAAATGTGAGTGAACGCGCCTCACGGGCTGAAAGGAATGACATAAATCTGAGCAAACCTCTGATGCATCAAATTGACAGTCTGCTAAATTGTCTGTCTTGGTTTTATGACCGGAAATAGATAGGAAAAAAAAGGCTGCCCTCTCAGCTTTCAGCACAAGGTCAGATGATAATTATATAAGAGAAATAAAACCAATATATACACCCTTTTAACGGCATGGCCAAAACGGTTCTATTTAATACTGCATTCAATAAATACAAGTGAAGAATTTAATTTGTTACTGTCAAGTCAAAAGAATAATTTCTTAAGTAGAAACAAGAGCATGATATGAATTGTAATGAAGTACTGTATGTGTGTGTGTTTGTTTGTTTGTGTGTGTGTTTGTGTGTCTACAGGATTATGTTTATTTTTAGCTCATCTCGAGAGGTTTTCATTTATTCAGCTCTTCTGCTTGACTAGAAATCTATACACAAACACCCATGATCAGTGCTAACTCCTATTTTGTTCACCGTTGTCATAGAAAAATGATACTCGTTTTACCTCAGCGGTTAATGGTATTCAAATCAAAATAAAAACAAATCAAAAACAGCAGTCTGGACTACGACAGTGCATGTTGAAGTCAAAGATATAACTTTAGAATGACAGTTTATAGTACCCAATATATCTGGGCGAAGAGAGCATTAGTGCCTTTCATTTCACCTATCAACAGTTCAGGAAAGTGTCCCACTCTACTTAATAAATAAAAACCAGAAGCTACAAAGCGGTGATGTGAGCTGGAGACAGGTGGACAGAGAAAATAACTCCCTTCAGTGAGATGGTATGGTCTTCACAAATGAATGGTTCCGCGGTGTGTGGTAAACAAAAAGAAAATCCCCCATTGGAAGTAAAATGAAACTAAACAATCTGCTAAGAGTTGTCTAAAGTCTCATGCAAAATATTGGATGCCACGAGCATGCATTTACCTGGTACTGAGGTCTACCGCACGCTAGAACTGGAACAACATTCGTCTCCAACGCAAAATACCAATATCCAAATATATGATCTGTTTTTTTACATTATTTACAGTGTGTAAGCTGATCAAGGTAAAATAGATGATTCTTCTTTTGATTTTTAATAATATACTTTGAAAACTAATAGACTATAATATATTTGAAATGAAACCACCGTTCAGCATGTTAAATAGATGATAACGTTTCTAAATTATTTCTGTGCAATAAAATTACCGCTATATACGTGTGATATAATATGATAAGGTGTGTTTCAGTCAGTCCGACGGCACATTATCTACTCATATGGGGGAAATGAAGAAAAAAAGGCATGACCTCTTAAGTTTCTGGATCTCCTGCCACTGGGGAAAGAGGAATTCCCGGTGTGTGTGAGAGAGAAAGTACGAGAGAGATGCGAGTCCCACACCGAAGGGAAAATACATGACTAATTCAAATCTGCCTGTGAAACTGAATAGATAATCACTAGTGGAATGCTGGAAGGCACTGTTAGATAGCATCTCTCTTCTCCGCAGCAGAACGGGCCAGCAAGTGTGCATGATTATGTGTGTGTTGGTGGCTTGAAGTAGGGGGGGGAGGGGGGGGCATAGCACGGGACCTGAGGTTATCATGGCCTGGGAACCATATCTTTTTTTTTTTTGCAGTGCCAGACCAGGGAATAATCTTCCAAAACAATCTCACCGGGAGCCATCTCTCTACAAACACCAGCAGCCGACTCACCCGTTTTTCAACGCTTTCCTTTTACTGAAACAAAACATAAATTACACAACATACAAAGCAATTCTAAAAAGGTCTTTTTTTTTCTTCTCCAGTAGGTTATAAGGCCTATAAGAAGGCAAACGAATGACATAGAACAATATATAAACTCTTTGATATCACGTGGTAGTGAGTAGTGAAGATATATAATGATATATCACATTGCACAAGTTGTCATATATGTACTGTCCATCAGGTGGTAATAATTCAACACAAAGTATCTGAGGTTTAAAGCATGATCACCAACCGTGTGTCACTTACATTCCCCACTGTTGAAAAGAATATACCTTCATGATGTGTGTAAATAGTTGTTTCCTCAGTAGATCTATTCTAAAACCTCATGTGGCGGGATCCACAGCATTGTTTGATCAAACCAATAATCTGATCACTTAAGCTGAATGCCAGAACATTGATCAGATCGGGAAAGACGACGGTGTGGGAGCTGAGATTTTAAAGCTGCGGTCTTTAGAGAGAAATGTGTCAGAGGACATCTGCATGCTACACTTTGAATTCACTTTTCTGCAGCGTCCTTTCTTTCAGTTGTTCATTTAGAATTTATTACGTGACCATTTCCCCTTGTGCTGGTTAAGGGATCGTTCTAATTCGTCACACTGGGGCCCATTTAGCGTCCTCACACGAGAGGAAATAAAGCGTTCCTCTGACTGGATATGTGCTTTTTACAATGTGAGAGATAGAAAAGAATTAACGGAAGGAGTCTCTTCTCTAAATATCGCCCAATGTTTTCACTTTAAGCTGTTTCAGGAGGTAGGCTGTACTCTTTCCAAACGCCCAGTGAGCTGCCAGCGAGGCGTGCCGGATTGGGGGGGGGGGCCGTGCTACAGGGGGTCGTCTCTGGGAGAGTGCTCGGGGGGGGTGAGGCGATGGGGGTTTTAAACAGAAGGCAGGTGGAGCGTATAGTCTGCCTATCTCCCGCGCCCAGCTGCTCGGGGGGGCGTAGGCGATGGGAGTTTTAAACAGAAGGCGTGGTGGAGCGACTATATCTGACCTACTCCCGCGCCCAGCTGTTTCATCTCTCGTCAACCCCTCCCCCCCCCTGGGTGTGATGGGTTTATGAATACCCTGTCAGAAGTGTTTGGTGAAAGGATGAAAATATTCTATTGATGTTCCCATCTATCGATTTGTTCCCTGACCCGTCGTATCGTGGCCGATGGCAGCCTGCCAAGAGAATGAAGCTGTTTCCTCTGAGAGCCTGTGACTCACTGAGGATGGAGCGGGAGATAGAGAGGAGAGAGCGAGGGAAACACTGAGAACGTCATACTGGGTGAAGAGAGGGTTACTATAATGCGGACAGCTAGAGAGGGGAGTAAAGGAGGGGGGGCAGACACAGTGATGGCATGGCTGCTCTGAGATCAGTGGCAGAATGGATCAGAGATGACGCCGAGCTTCCGCGGGTCCTTCGTCAGCTGTCAATTATTCAACCTCACATTCAGAAGAATGCAAACAAGCAATCTCACATAGCAGCAACATGTCAGCTTGTTCTATCACGATCTTACTACGAGGAAATGCCCCGGCTCTGCCTTCTCTCTCCAGACGATGGATTCAAAATGAATTGATATAACAATGTAAATAACTCCAGGACATTCAGATGGCGTGAGGATGCAGAATCCGAGGGGGAAAGAGTTCAGCCGGAGAAGCGTGATAACTTATAACGTTGCTAACATATATGAATCGTAACGTTTTTAAATGTTTAAATCCAAAGTCTTCAGTCCTCTTGCCGATCATATTCACAATAGTCCTTCATTTTTCAAAAGTCTCTTGTGTGTGTTTGTCGTATTTTTCTTCATGATGGGTCAGGATCATCCAGTGTTTAGTGCGTCTAAGAAAAATATCTGGTCCTTCAGAAGAGTCCGCGTATCTCTATTTCCTAAATGGAGCTAATCTACTAAAATTCTGCCAGAAAGGAGCCTGGCCTCTTTTGGATTGACTGAATTCAAAAACCTCTCCTTGTGCCATGTCCTCCGATACCTCATACTGGCCCGCGCTGAGGGGGTCCTGCGGGGGCGGGTATGAGGGGGGCGTGCACCTGTTTACACCTGAGAAGGCAGGTGCAAAAAGAAGCAAGACGGGAGTGGGGTGGGCGGGGGAGGGGACAAGGAGGCAGCGCGGGGGGCACAAAGCGAGAGAAGAAGAAAAAAGGTGGATGGCAAAAAGAGGAAACATCGTCAGTAAACGGATCAGGAAACGGACACAACAACACAACACCGAGTCATGCTAACGGAGTACAGGCACACGGACACACATTAGCATTCCTGCATATTAAACCTGAGATATGATACAGAATGATCATATGATGACGGTTGAATCGGGGAATTCAGCTCTAGCAATGACACAAGGGAGACTGAAGATGCTATTCAATCAAACTGTGTGGCGGGCAAACACGAGAACAGACAGATTCACGTTTTGATGAAACAAGGCATTTGGACAAGAGACGCTGTTCCTCCGTGTTTGTTGACAGCGCGTTTGTTTGAATAGCACCCCCTCGACACTTGAGAAACACAAGAGTGGCGAAAATAGAGCCAACAGAAAAGCTGTTAATATGCGCTTAACTAGAGTCTACGGCGTCATTTCGCTACAGTCTACAAGCATCACAACTAGTGCTAGTGCAGTAAAAATTAGATCAATATTCGGAGATGAAATATTCAAAAGTTGCCATGGCATCTTAGGAGGGAATAAAATTAGAACAGTGTCTGTATTGGGGGGTAATTTGCTTAAAATACTGAGCAGTTAGAAGGGTTTTTTGTTATATTGTATTAGATTAAACTGTGCTCCAGTGTTAATCACAACACCTCCCAATGCTGCTTTAGCAGTTGCCATGGCATCTTATTGTGCTAGCTCTAAAGGAGAACTCTAATGCATATACCTTTATCATTCTCAAACCATGTCCATACAACATGGCCCTCTTTTTCAAGATGAAATCTATAAATGAATCTGAAATTCAAGAGAGTACTTCACCTTGTGCCAGCCATGTACACATACAGCACTTAGAAAACACACAACACGTCTACAGGGGTCCTAACGTCAGAGAAAACATTCCAGCAAGGGGTTAATTCATACTTTAATGGATGGTCATGCTCATTTTGAAACTGGCAATAGTCAAATGTACACACATCTAGCCTAGCGCTCAAATGGCTAAATCTTAAAGTGGGATACCAGCAGGGGGGGACATGAGGGTCCTCTGTCTGAGGCTCTGTGAGGGGCTAGCATCTGGAGGAACCCGCTTGACATGTTCTTCTGTTACAGAGATAGCTGGTGGCTGCTGGAGCTCAAGGTGGAGTCAGACATTCTGAAGGAAGAGTGTTGATATTTGAACATCCGCCTACATCCACGTTAATCTGTAAATCTTTTTAAAAACATGAATGCCCCCTTGTTGATGATTGGCTAAAATAAAATGTTGTGTTTCTTGTACCAATCCACGTTGTTTACCATTTACAGCATCAGGGGTGTTTGTTTCGACCGGGTGTTTTTTCAGCACTGCCACAAAATGGACCGCTTTAAGACCAAACTTCTACAGCAAATGTATTACCCATTTTATTTTGCGATATAGCAGAAGTATAACGGACACATAGTTTGAATGAAAATAAGCCCTGGAATAATGCTATATTTATTGACATGTTTAAACAATATAATAGCAGACTAATATAAAAGGCAATTAGGGTTAGCCGCCATACTGTAAGATGTTTGAGTAAACAGCTATGCCAAAGTGTAGACTTCTACTGAACAATATTGAGAGATCGCTGGCGTCTCCAGTCGACTTTAATCGCGGTTTAATGAAATGGGATTTTAGGGCTTTGATTCCTACTGTCCGAAATGTTTATGTGTTGATGGAAAGGCAGCATCAGGCTTTAAACTGGTTCCAGCTTAAACGGTGTATTAAACGTAATATACTCCCCCACATTTTATCTAAATGTATATCTAGCTAAATCTAAAATCAAAGTCTTAAGAAGCTTTGAGAGTAGCATTAGTGGCGATCTTAGGCTGTGAAAGAGGCAGGGACGCTTGAGAAAATTCTGACCGGGTTGAAAACCTTTTATTTAAAATGTGGTTCTGTTCCCGACTTCAAGCAAAAAGAAAATGTTGCCAACCCTCTTTTATTTGCATTTAAACAAAAAGTAGGGCATATATTTGAAGATCTATTAAATCATATTTAAGAAACATTTAGAATTTAATTAAAGTAAATTAAGACTTTAAAGGATGCGTGAAACTCTGCATGGGTAAATATTTTTGACTTTGAAAGTGTATTTTGTAAGAATTGCTAACTCCACCTTTAGCATTATTTTTGACATATTTGGCTGTAAAACAAATCTGAAAATAAGTCAAAGTAATGCGATTGCTTTGATGTTTCTTCAATCTTCAAGACGTGATGTTGTATTATTGTCCTAGATTGCACTATGTAAAGTAATTACTGTAAAAGCAAACTATAAAACACACTTCAGAAGTATCAACCAAAAACAAGAAGGAATTCATTTAAAAAAAAATCTGGATTTTAGTGATAAGCCCCGACAGCCACCCTAACTCAGTAAAAGGAAAAATGCAAACAGTTTGAAGTGTGGAATTGGTTTTCGAGACAAGCGTGACACAGGACCCACATGTCAGGGATGCAGGTATCGCCCTTTAAACTCAATACTTCATGCAAATAGCCCTCTGTCTTTTCATTGATGCTTAACGTCTGCTTTACAACTCATATCGATTCTTCCTCGTGAACGGGCGACAGACATTTGACTCAAAACGATACAAAAAAAAGTGATATAGCGAGAAGACATGAATCCACGTGACTTTTCTAGCTTACTCAGTACACAGATAGTCCATTCATAAACAAAGTAGGCGTGTTTTAGAAAACGTGTAGACAGTTAAAAAAACAAAACAGAGAGGTTAAGGAGTAAAGAGTAAACAGCGATGAGAAGACAGAGCACACCAGCGAGGAAAAGAAAAGGAAAATCACCTGATATCTTCTTGTTGCCTCACCTTTCTGTTTGGTCACCTTTCTCACTGTCATGGCCGCCTGCCGCTTCTGGTACTCAGAGATCTCGAAACCTTAACCGCAAACCATTCAGACATTTACAATTCATTAGCATTCATTTTAATTCTGATTTATTAAATACATTTATATTTGTTCACATTTATATTGTAATTTTTTTCTATATGGCTTTCATTTGAATTTAGATTTATTGTTTAGATATTTAAATTTTTCTCACATTTTTCTGTTGTAATGTAAAGTAATGTTTTTCTATACAGTTAAAATGATTTGCATACAGCTTTCATTGTAATTTAAAAGTATCATGTTAGTATTTTTTCAGATTGTATTATGTTTCTTCTTTACAGCTTTAAATTGATTTATTGCATATCATTTTATATTATTATTATTTTTTTCTATTATTCTATATTTAAATGTGCTATTTATTTCTTTGTTTATGCTGTGCACCAATACGCCAAGGAAATATTATTTATATATAATATATTTTAATACTATTTTATTTATGAGAATAAAAGGGATGTAACAATAAATAAGAAGCTGCCTTTAACTTTAATTTAAAAATCTGCTATGAGACTTTATTGAGTTTTTCACAATAAAGTCACAATAAAGTAAAAAAAAACACCCAAATAATTAATAACACATGTTGTCATGCTATGATGTGCATATAGCATGCTGTAGCTAAGTCAACATGTGCCTGAAACTGCATTCCCCCTGTGAATGAAACCTTTCCAAACAGGGCGGAGCAGGGCGGTGTGTGACTAACCGATTTTCTCGTCCTCCTGCACCATCTTCCTCTCCTCGTGGAAGGCCCTGAGCCAGCGGTTCTTCTCCTCCGGCTTCTTGGCCAGGAAGATGTGGATCTCCTCGCTGTCTTTGTTGCACAATTTGAAGGCGTTCTTCACGCTGACGTTGAAGTCGTCGTCGCGCCCGTCTGTGGCGTCCCGCACGTCGTAGCGATCCATATCGATGCGGCCCTTATAGTACAGGATGTCCCGGCGAATCAGATCCTGGGTAAGAGAGAGATAGAGAGAGAGAGAGAGAGCGAGACGTCTGTTAGTGTGTGTGCGCTGAACCTCAGAGGTGTCAACAAGCATCCTGCCCTTGGTGTCCTGAGCCTTATGCAACCCTTTCCATCTGCTACACACACACACACACACACACCACACTTTACACTCAGACACTTATCTTCTATCACACACACCGACAACACAACATGTACACACAACACCACACACCCACAACACACACACACC